TAAATAAATAAATAAATAAATAAATAAATAAAATTTTAAAAAATATATTTAAAAAAATAAATATTAAAAAAATTTCATTTTAGTCCCACTAAAAACATAACATTGCTAAGAGCCATTATTCTAAAAAGGCATAAATGTATGAATATTCAAAATGTTGAATATTAGCAAGCTTTAAAAATAACAATGATTCTTTTAGAATTTCCCTCTGCTTCAGAAAGGGTACATTTTCAGATCTAATTAAGAAGTAAAATCATAAAGAAGAAAGCCATTTTTTTCTCAAAGAGAAACGTTTCACCAGAAGGTAGTTAAAGGGGCCACAGGGTCACTCAGAGTAGGTTTCCAGACCACTTCTCTCCTCTTCTACCCACTTCACCCCATCCCACTGTTGTAAAAACTTCCATGGGATAGTCTTTAAAATTTGATTTATAATTCATTCCTTGCTACATAACTCACAGCTAGTCATTAAGTCCTATTAATCAACAATAAATAATTGAAGGTAGAAAAGTTGACCTTCCTTGGAAATAATCCCAAAGCTGAGTTGTCAGCACCATATTACACACATTGCTCAATAATTATTTGAGGAAAAGTGACGAGAAATTCATGTTTTCTAAATCTGTTCCCACAAGGTTCCTGACTTTCCTAGAGAGAACCAATCTTTCCCGTTGCCTAGCACTTGGTCAGCTCTTCTGACAACCTTGCTCATGCAATTAGTTATGTATCATGTCAACCTCTCACCTTTATTAGATGCTGAGATTTTGAATATCAAGTTGTGGTTTATAAACTATGGTTGCATCTACTATTTACTGAGTGCTTACTAAGGGTCAGGACAAGAAAATATTAAAGGCAGCTTTCCAAATCCGTAACAGTGACCTCACTTATTTGAGCTATGCTCAGTAATACGATGAACGTCAATAGAAGTAATACATTGTGAAGCAGGGGCTTTTTTTGTTTGATTTTGTTTTTTGTGGTTTTTTTTTTTTTTTGCAACTTTGCTGTGTGAGAATCCTCTAATTCAGTGCAGACATTAGGCAAATTGTGCCATTCTATCATATAAAGACATCTCTATTTTGCAGATGAGGAAAGGAGGCATAGAAAGGTTAAGAAACTTTCCAAATAAGTGGTGGGGCCGGGACTTCTATAAACTTGTTGGACTCCAAAGTCAGTGCTCTTAAACCACTAATGCTACAGACTTTTTGACTAAGCAATGCTTTTTAAATAGTAAGCAATCAATACATGAACTTTAGTTAAATGTGTTGACTATCTTCTCAGTGATTTACACAGCACTTGTCTCTATATATCCATAATCAACCTGCATGAGTTTCAGTAGGAATAATTTTGGTCTTTTGATGGATCAGACAACTAGGCAAAGGTCCACAAAGTGTTTTCCTATGGTCACAAGTTAGCATGTGACAGGGTTGCACTATTCTAAGGCTCCCGGGCCTCTTTGTAAAACACCACCCCAACTTCATGAGGTAGTTCTGAATAAATCACAGTTTTTCTGATGTTAAGCTTAACTTTCAAAATATGCAAATTAACAGTGAAAACTCTCAAAAGCAAGTATCTAGAGTGGAAAAAATTATTTTATTATGTTATTATTTATTATGTAAAATATAATAATTAAATAAAATTTGAATATTTGAAATTTATGTCAAATAAACATATCTGACATAAATAAACATATACCTAAATGTAAATTCAAAAAACATCAATAGAGATAAGGTTCTGAATTTGTAAATTTGGAACCTTTCTATCTTTTCTATCTTTTCTATCTTTCTACCTTTTGAGTAAGAAAGAATAATTCAGCAAGACACTACTATGGATGAATGTAAACTTGGGAACCTTTACACAAGTTTTCATTAACAAATTAACCTGTCAAAATTTAAATAAAACATTAATATTGCATTCCTCCTTGACTGCCACAAAGTTTAAGATGCTTATAACAGGCCAAAGAAAAAAATCAGGAAGCATATTCTCCTCTCAGTAGGAGCCACTATTAGCAATCCTACCTTGTGTGGTAAAGATCAGAGGGGCGCTCCAGTCACTCCAGAGTCCTGGGCCATCCAGTCTCCTGCCCCTCACTTGAACTTCATATGAAGACCCAGGAAGCACACTGTCTACCAGCAGAGATGTAGCTGAGACAATCTCATCAGCCTATTAAATATTATTTGAAAACATCAGAGCATCAAGTTGATGTGGAACCTTTATCAAAATTGTTGACAAGCAGTCTTAGCAAATTTCAAAGAATTAAAATCTTACAGAATAGTTAGCAGGCCCCAGTAGAATTCATTTGCACATTTGTCAATAAAAGTTTAAAGAGCCCATGAGTCCAAGAAGAAAATCATAGTGACAGGAAATATTTTTACCTGAATAATAATGAATATTGACCTTTCGAAATTTGAGAGACACAGCTGAAGTCAGTGGAGAGCTTTAAGCCACCACTGACATCTCTAATAAACACACATGGTAGGAAATAATGAGCAGGGGTGGACAGAGAATAACAAACATTCCTAGAATAAAGCTTCACAGAGAAGGGCACGAATAATTTAAAAACCTGAACTTGGGGCGCCTGGGTGGCGCAGTCGGTTAAGCGTCCGACTTCAGCCAGGTCACGATCTCGCGGTCCGTGGGTTCGAGCCCTGCGTCGGGCTCTGGGCTGATGGCTCAGAGCCTGGAGCCTGCTTCCGATTCTGTGTCTCCCTCTCTCTCTGCCCCTCCCCCGTTCATGCTGTGTCTCTCTCTGTCCCAAAAATAAATAAATGTTGAAAAAAAAAATTAAAAAAATAAAAAAAATAAAAAAATAAAAACCTGAACTTGATGATAAGCTACAGTGAATCAAAATATAGTTTATACACTAGAGAGCAGATATCCAAGAGACTTAATTCTGCATAAGACAACCACTACTAAGAACTGCTTAGCAAATAAATTCAGTTTTCCAATGATGTACTCCAAAGCTACTGAACTCCCTGGCCTCTTAAACTGGGAAAGGGTGAAAAGCGCTAGGAATGTATTACACAATAGCAGATTACTTATATTTCAAATTCTATTATCTCCGTTTTATAGATGAGAAAGCTGAGGCCCAGAGAAGCCTTAACTCTGCTTTTCCCACACGTGGCACTAAGGATTCCTTTTCTGCTCTTCATGAAAATAAAGTCTTTAAAAAACTGGCCCAGAGTTAAAAAGACAGTTTTTATATCTAAATTATATAACAATTCATTTCATAAGGGAAAATGCCAAACTCCACGCACCGTCCACGCTCCTTATGACCTCCTTCTTCTCCTCTCCTACTCCTCTCTGATTCATCCACTGCTACTCTTGCTCTCACTCACTCCCCTGGCCTCTAGCTTCTCATCCAGCTTATGGCCTCTGAATTGCTGTTTCCTCTATTTGGAAACTAATTCCCCCGTATATCTCCATCACGAACCTCCTTCAAATCCTTGCCCAAATGTCACCTTCTCAATGAGGTCTTCCACACCTCCACTTAATGCTACAACCTACCATCTCCACCAGCACCCTCAAGCTCCCCTCTCCAGTTTGTTCTACTACCAAGTGCATCCTGATGCCCGTAGAACAGTTCCTAGCACCTATTAGGTACTCAATAAACACTGAAACGATGCAAAAGGGATTTGACACACTTTACACTACAAATGTATGCACTGCATGTAAACAAATATGTTGAGCAATAAAAAAAGTAAGTTTGAATTGTAAAATCAGAAAGGATTACGATCATGAATCCAAGTTTCTGTAACTGGACTTTCTATAGCCCTTTAGCCGTGTGTGCGTGCATGTGTGGAGGGAGAGGGAAGAGACGGAGAAAGATGATAATCTATACATAAACTCTTTTTGGAAGTGGGACTTTCTCTGGAACTAAATTCTGGGAAGAATTTGTCATACCCCTCAATATATAACATGGATCCATACATAAGAGATACTGTGCAACATCAAACAATTTTTCTAAAAGCATTTTACCAAAGATGCAGACATGCTGTTCATATGGTCATTTCCTAGGCTGATCTTAAATGAAAGCAAGTATAATATTAAATTACAGCTGGTTCTGCTCCAGAAGAGCCATGTACATTTGGCAAGCAAAGGGCATTTGAGATGGGACTTGGAAAGCGCTGTATCTTCAGTTGCTCCTCGATGTTCCATTTTGTTTACTAAAATATACTTACTGGGGCACCTGAGTGGCGGCCTCCATTAAGTATCAGACTCTTGATCTCGATTCAGGGCATCTTGGCTCAGGGCATGATCTCATGATTTCATGAGTTCGAGCTCTACATCAGGCTCTGTGCTATCAGCACAGAGCCTGCTTGGGACTCTTTCTCTCCTTCTCTCTCTCCCCTTCCCACATTAGAGTTGTCTCACTCTCAAAATAAATAAATAAACATTAATTTTTTTTTTCCAATTTAAACTATACTTACTTTTCTCATACTTGTTGAAGAATTCTCTGAATATTTCACTTGATATTGAAGTTGAAATGGTACCAATGTTGGGCTGGACCAAGAAATTTTTAAATTGCCAGTGTCTGTGATTTCCATATGTAAACCTAATGGTGGATCAGGCTTCACTTAAGGAAAAGAGAATATTTTGAAGTCAAGCAATTTTCATGATAATCATAAAATAAAGTCAAAATGAATTTTTAGCAGATCCTAATCTTTTAACTACTTAAAAGGTAACCTTAAGCAAAGGCTAATTACAGAACCAAAATATTAGGTCTCCTCCTTGTATCTTTCCATAACAATCCACACATCTTCCTTTCCTTCTCCCTAAATGGTAAAAACTGTAAATCAGTAAATGAGGTTGTTTTGATAAACATGAATTCCTGCTGTAAAAAAGTCTGTTAACTTTATTTAAACTGGCATTCCCCAAACTTCTTTGAAGCTTCTCCCTACCACACTCACCCACTGTTTTAGTGGGTGACAAAGAAAAACAGCATTTTGCAGAGTACTACTTGGAAAATGCATACAGAGTTTTCAGGTAAAACTTCACACAAATATGCATGCAAACTTCAGCAAACCTATTAACTTTGAAATACAGTAATCTAGATGCACCAATTCAAATAACCCACAGCATGCATATTTTACATGCAATAAACATAGCATTAGCAGGCCCTGGCTTGTCACCAGAAATGGGCATAGAGTTTCATAGTCTAACAATGTGTTTAGCTTAGTAAATGATTTGAGTTTGTATGTATACGCATGTGTTTATGTATGAATATGCATTTGTGTATAGATTTTGTGTGTGTGTGTGTGTGTGTGTGTGTGTGTGTGTGTGTGTGTACTTTTAAGCACACATAACCTTGGGACACCTGGGTGGCTCACTCAGTTAAGCATCTGACTTAAGTTCAGGTCATGATCTCACAGTTTATGAGTTCTAGTCCTGCATCAGGCTCTGTGCTAACAGCTCAGAACCCATCTCCCCTGTCTCTGTTCCTTGCTTGTGTGCTCTCTCTCTCCCAAAAACAAATAAACATTAAAAAGAAAAATTAAAAACACATAACCTTTAAATTATTTGTAGAAACAATATAAACATCTTACAATAAAAGACTGGCGAAAGAAATAATGGCTCATCCCTATAAGGGGCTCTATATAGCCATTAAAAATGATAATGGAGAAGAATACTGAACATGTTTAACACTGTTAGTATTGTAAGTTTATTGGGGGTGCCTAGGTGGCTTGGTCAGTTAAGCGTCTGACTCCTGACTTCAGCTCAGGTCATAATCTCACAGTTTGTGAGTTCGAGCCCTGCATCGGGCTCTATACTGACAGCGCAGAGCCTCCTTGTGATTCTTTCTCCCTCTCTCCGTCCCTCCCCTATTTGCTCTCTATCTCTCTCTCAAAATGAATAAAAATAAATTTTAAAAAAAGTTTATTAAACAACATCTATACTTGGATTCCTGATTTTTTTTTGAAATTAATAAAAGAATATTCATAAATATGTATTAAAATTAGAAAAAATGACAAAATGATGGAAAACAGATAATGAATTTGTCCTTTTTGCACATCTCTTGTGTTTTTAAGATTTTAACTAGCAGAACTTACATAATAGAAATAGTCATTACATTGAAACACTGATTTGCATTTCATTTTCAAGAACTAAAATGGCACATTACTGTTTTTTAACACACTGTATTTTCTTTTCATTTTTTTTAAATGTTTTTATTTATTTTTGAAGGAGAGAGAGAGACAGAGCATGAGCAGGGGAGGACCAGAGAGAGAGGGAGACACAGAATCCAAAGCAGGCTCCAGGCTCTGAGCTGTCAGCACAGAGCCCGACATGGGGCTTGAACTCACAAACCATGAGATCATGACCTGAGCCAAAGTCAGACACTCAACCAACTGAGCCACCAGGCGTCCCTTAACACACTGTATTTTCAAGAATTTAGACACAGTTTTTCTCTTTTCCTTGAATCAAAATTAATAAAGTTTTTACTTTATGTGACATATTACAAATTTTAGTTATTTTAAAGCAGGGACAGATAAACACTAAAGTCTAGAAACAATAGGTGAAACTCACTGAGTTCTCATGACCAAAAAGAAAACAAAGCAAAGCCATCAAACAGAAGAGAAATCATAAAATTATAAACTATTGTACACTTCCTGCCGTATAGATATATTCCTTAATATTAGAAATCTAAAGGGGCGCCTGGGTGGCGCAGTCGGTTGAGCGTCCGACTTCAGCCAGGTCACGATCTCGCGGTCCGTGGGTTCGAGCCTCGCGTCGGGCTCTGGGCTGATGGCTCAGAGCCTGGAGCCTGCTTCCGAGTCTGTGTCTCCCTCTCTCTCTGCCCCTCCCCCATTCATGCTCTGTCTCTCTCTGTCCCAAAAATAAATAAACGTTGAAAAAAAAAATTTTTTTTTTTAAAAAATAAAAAAATAAAAAAATAAAAAATAAATAAAAATAAATCTTTCCCTGAACCACCTATGTCCCCAGTCTTAGATATACTGCCACCTACCTGCTTCTTTCACAGTAACATCTCTTGGAAGCATTGGCACTACTCATTCCGCCCACTTTATGTCCCATCTTCCTAACCAACCTACTCTGATCAGGTCTACCCCCTCACCAATCCACTGAAAGCGCTCTCTCTTATCAAGATCACCACCCTTTTCCAAAATCCAGGATCAGCTGTCTGATCCATTTCACTCCACCTCTCAGTGGCATTCCACATATCTGCTCACTGTTCCTGCATGGTTCCAGGCCACCATGTTCTTTTACTCCTCTTTTCCCTCTGACTGCCTCAGTCTTTCCCTCGCTGAACTCTTAAGTGGCTGATCTTATTCAATCCCAAAAACATCTATACAACAAATACTCCTGTATATATCTCCCTTGAACTCTAGGATCATATGTCCAAATGCCTACTCAGCATCTCTTGGGTATCTATAAGCATCTCAAAATTAATGTGTCACACATGATCCTCCCCAAATCTCCCCATCCCAGTACATGGTACCACTATTCACTGGCATGCTCTGGTCCTAGCCTGAGTGTTATCCTTGGCTCTTCTCTTTCCTTCGTACCAAATCCACTAGAAATCTCAGATAGCACCATCTCCCAAATAAATTCCAACTGTGACCATTTCTTTCTTCTCCATTGCTACATCCCTAAACCAACTAGATCATTCCAATAACCTCCTATCTGAGCCCTCTGATTCCACTCTTGCAACTATCCTTCCTCTTTTCCCCATCAACTTTCTTCTCCACATGCAGAGCAAATTTGAAACATGCACACAGACACACATACCTGACCATATCACTCTCCTGGCTCAAAAGCTTCCAGTGCAATTAGGATAAAATCCAACTCTGTAACTCTGGCCTACGATATGAACCCAATAACTCTCCGACCACATCTCCAGATATTCCCTTACCTCATTCAGTCCAAACATAGAGGCCTTTTCTTTGGTTCCTCCAACTGCCAAGCTCATTCCATCTCAGAGGTTTCATGGGTGCTATTTTTCTTGCATGGAGCACCTTTTGCTCTGGAGTTTTACACAGTTTTTTCTCTTTCATTTAGCCCAACTGCTATCTCCCAAAACAGGTCCTCTTTGACCTCCATAGCTAAAATAATAGTCACTACACCTGACACTCTCCATCTCTTACTTCTTTTATGGAACTTAAAATTTTGGGACATTATCATATATGCCCAAGCATACGGAAAGATTTTTTTTCTTCAAAAATCATTACTGAAAAAAAACAAAACTCTTTTTAAGTTTCTTATAAAGTCTATCATAGAACTTCATCTTAACTTTTATTTTTTTTAAATATGCAATTAAATTCTGACTCCAGGTGCTTCTAAAAATCACCTGAGAGAATTAGTTTTAAAAAGAGAACATAACAGTATTTTATAAATATTATGTATATTTTTTCCTGTGGTACAATTTCATGATGGAATTGTTCAGGCGTCATCATAATTATGTTGTAGAGACCAAAAATATATCCCTAGAAGACAAATTATTTGAAAGTCCTAATGTTGGGGCGCCTGGGTGGCTCAGTCGGTTAAGCACCCGACTTCAGCTCAGGTCACGATCTCACGGTCCATGAGTTCGAGCCCCGCGTCAGGCTCTGGGCTGATGGCTCAGAGCCTGGAGCCTGCTTCCAATTCTGTGTCTCCCTCTCTCTCTGCCCCTCCCCCGTTCACGCTCTGTCTCTCTCTGTCCCCAAAATAAATAAACGTTAAAAAAAATTTTTTTTGAAAAAAAAAAAGAAAGTCCTAATGTTAAAATATGATGTCAATGCATTCATATGTCATATGTCATATGCAAATCTGCATATGTAGATGTCATGCTCAGTAACTTAGAAAGAAATGAAGGTGAGGCTATGTGAAAAACCGTGTGAGATGCCTGGAAAAGTGGCTCTTGTGATGTCAAAAACAATGATGCAATGATGCATGTAAGAAGTTTATATACAATGCTTTCAAGAAATACAAGTGGAAAATAGTAACACTGTTACATTACATGTTATATATAATATACGTACATACACAAAACTGAGTTAATAAACACAATCATTAAGTGAACACTTGCCTATCTTATTCACATTTGTAATTATATGTTCAGGTGGATCAAAAGAAACTTTGGGAATCTTTGCACTAAAAATCTGGGCCATAACCTATTACTTGAGTTTTTCTTATAATCAGATTTGTACAGCAAATTATTTAGTCGTTTACTTTTTTACTATCCCTGTCTGCTTAATATTGTCTCTGGTCTATGAGGCAGAAACTTTGTCTCATTCACCATTGTTTCCCCAGTTCCTAGGTCAGTGGCTGACACATATGAGCCTCTGAGAAATATTTATTGAAGGAAGAAATCCAGGTAAAAAACAAGCTTCTCATTATTTTTGGAAATTATTATCTGATAAGTGAAAACAGGAATAACCAAACGACACGTATCCATTGCACAGATCCAGAATTTAAGAAAAAATGTTTTTAAGAAAGAATTTAACAACTGCAGAGATATCTATATTGCGCTTAAAACATTCTAGAAGCTACTCTTAATAGTTCCTCATACCACATTTACCATCCTTACAGCTCGAAAGCAAGATAAACTATTGAAAAAAAACATTTTGTGAGCAATTTTTAACCTGCTTGTGTGACTGATGTTTAGATCTATTATCTCTTTTATACACAACTTACCAACATTTATGGGCTGAACTGACATCATAGGTGACTGAAAAATTACTCCACCAGACGTGATTTTGAAATACATAAGAAGAGTGTGGTTGAGTTTGGCTGTGGGCACAGGCACATGGCATTCACAGCTGTCACGAACACTGCAGTTACACTGAACAGTCAGAAAACTGCCCTTCTGGGGGACCGGAAGTGACTCTTCTAACACTTCAGGCCTATGTGAAAAAAGAAGAGATAAATATTAGTGTAGATGTGGCATGTACTGGATTTACTTAAAATGTATGACAAAAATTTCTGCGCATCCAGCTTAAAAGGCATCTAGGGAAAAACAAAGGATGCATTATATCAGAGATACAAACATAAGAGTTAAAGCAGGTTAGCCATTAGAAAGAATATCAGCACAGGGGCACTTGGTTGGCTCCATCGGTAGGGCATGTGACTCTGGATCTTGGAATTGTAAGTTCGCGCCCCATGTTGGGTATAGAGATGACTTAAAAATAATAAAAAATCTTAAAAGAAATAATACCAGCAACAAGGTACTGAAGCAATAGTGAAGTACCAAAAAGGAAAGAGATACTGTGATCCTAAAACTCTATATCCAGAGAAAATATCTTTCAAAATAAACATGAAATAAAGGTTTTTTTTCAAGCATACCAAAACTGAAAGAATTCGTCACCCATCAGGTGTGTATTATAAAAGCTGCCAAAGAAAATCCATCAGGCAAAATAAAATGATAGCAGATGGAAGACAGGTTCCACACAAAGAAATGAAAATAACTTTAAAAGGGTATTTACTTGGGAATGCAAGCTGGTGCTGCCGCTCTGGAAAACAGTAGGGAGGTTCCTCAAAAAACTAAAAATAGAACTACCCTATGACCCAGCAATTGCACTACTAGGCATCTATCCATGGGATACAGGTGTGCTGTTTTGAAGGGACACATGCACCCCATGTTTATAGCAGCACTATCAACAATAGCCAAAGTACGGAAAGAGCCCAAATGTCCATCGATGGATGAATGGATAAAGAAGATGTGGTATATACATACAATGGAGTATTACTCGGCAATCAAAAAGAATGAAATCTTGCCATTTGCAACTACATGGATCGAACTAGAGGGTATTGTGCTAAGCGAAATTAATCAGAGAAAGACAAGTATCATATGACTTCACTCATATGAGTACTTTAAGAGACAAAACAGATGAACATAAGGGAAGGGAAACAAAAAGAATATAAAAACAGGGAGGGAGACAAAGCAGAAGAGACTCATGAATATGGAGAACAAACTGAGGGTTACTGGAGGGATTGTGGGAGGGGGGGTGAGCTAAATGGGTAAGGGACACTAAGGTAATCTACTCCTGAAATCAATTTTGCACTATATGCTAACTAATTTGGATGTAAATTTAAAAAAATTAAAATTAAAATTAAAAAAATAAATAATAAATATGGAGAACTGAAGGTTACTGGAGGGGTTGTCGGAGGGGGGATGGGCTAAATGGGTAAGGGGCACTAAGGAATCTACTCCTTAAATCATTGTTTCACTATATGCTAACTAATTTGGATGTAAATTTAAAAAAATAAAAAAATAAAATTAAAAAAATAATGTGGAGAAAGTTAAAATGGGATATTTTAAAAGCTATACACATTTATTTTTGTTCTGTACTGAAGATAAAGACAAGGAGAATCCTTTCAAGATCAAGTAATGAAAATTCTCTAGTTTTTAGAGCCTCTACTCCTTTACCATAGGTTTCTAAAAAGTTTAATACCTACTTTAGGATCAATACTTTGTGCAAATTAATATAAGGAGGATTCTGGGGGATGAAGTTTAGAATTAGCAAAAATAAGAAGGGTTTATATTTTTCCAAGAAAATAGAAAAAAATCACTGGAAAACAGATTCTTGAATTTTTTCAGTTATTCTAAAATGTCTTGTCTGTGGAAACTATCCAGTTTTCAAAACAACATTATCCTCAGATCTTTGTAACTAGAGCGTATTTATTAAATCATGATTTTTTTAAAAAAGGGTATTTACTGACTGCTTAAAGCAAAAATAATAACCATGTAGTGTAAGGTTTATAACAGATAGAAGTAAAACATATGACATTGGCTCCAAGCTTGGGAGTGTGGGACATAATGTAAGTATGCAGTTGTAATGTTCTCATGCTACACATGAAGTGGTATAATATTCCTCGGAGGTACATAAGTTAGACCGTGATGAGTTAAAAACCTGTATTACAAATCCTAAAGCAACCACTAAAATAACAAAACAAGAAGTTACAGCTTTGGAATCACAATGGTCAAGTCAATAGAGTATTAGTATAGAGAAAAATAGATGAATGGAACAGAATAGAGACGAAGACCTATATGGACAACCAGCTTTCTAGAGAGGTACAAAAGCAGGTCTGTGGAGAAGGGTGGTGAGCAATGGGACGTCTATACGCAAAACAAAACAGATTTCAACCCCTACTCACACCAGATTCAAAAATTAATTCAAAATGGGTCATCAATTCAAATATAAAATCTAAAGCTATAAAACGTCTAGAAGAGAACACGGGAAAAAAAATTTGTGACCTTGGGTAAGGTAACATGTCCTTAGATGCAACACCAAAAACATGATCCATAAAAGAACAAATTCATAGATTGGACTCTTCTCAACATTGAAAACTCCTCTGAAAGAAAGACACTATGAAACAACAAAAAGACAAGCCACAGACTGAGAGAATACATTTCCCAATCATCTATCTAATAAAGCACTTGTCTCCAAAAGATAAAAAGATCTCTCAAAACTCAATAATAATAGGGGCTCCTGGGTGGCTCAGTTGGTTAAGTGTCAAACTCTTGGTGTCTGTTCAGGTTATGATCTCACCGTTCGTGGGTTCAAGCCCCATGATGGGCTCCACCTGCTGGGGATTCTCTCTCTCTGTCTCTCTCTCTCCTTCTTTCTCTGCCCCTCCCCTGCTCTCACTCTCTGTGCGTCTCTCTGAAAATAAACTTTTTTAAAAAGGTTAAAAAAAACCTTGTAAATGGGGAGAGAGTATTAATATTTAGACATGATCACTGCCTTCAGAAATCTTGCAGCCCTTTTGGAGGGAAAAACTGTAAGTTATAAATATACAAATTTAGTGCAGGGAAAGCAATGCTTTAGAAACTCTGCTAACTAGCACATACCTGAAAATTCAGATATAAACACAACATGAAAGAAATGGGCCCGAATCATTCATACATATACCCCCAGTATTAAATGTTGTGAATTATGATAGATTTTCATGTTTCCTGAGATAGACTTTAGTATTACATTAGACCTAAAAGAAATCAATCAAGAAACAACATTTCCAGGCCTTTTAAGGTGCAAATCAGTCTATTGGGCGCTGTGTAAGGGATAATCCTATTGTGGGAAGCACACTAAACTAAACTGAGACCTAAAATTAAGTCCTGTTTGCTTATGAGCCATAGTCAGAGAGTTCCTTTTGTGAGCTTTGGTTTCGACAATCAGTAAAACAGAGAAAAATGCCTGCACTACTCACCTTTACAAGGCTATTGTAAGTATTAAAGAGGATAACATAAGAGGATTTTTGAAAACTTTAAAGTGTTATATACTCATAAGATACCATTTTGGGGTTTTTTTTAATATGAAATTTACTGTCAAATTGGTTTCCATACAACACCCAGTGCTCATCCCAACAGGTGCCCTCCTCAATGCCCATCACCCACTTTCCCCTCCCTCCCACCCCCCACCAACCCTCAGTTTATTCTCAGTTTTTGAGACTCTTATTGTTTCCCTCCTTCCCTCTCTGTCCCCCATGGTCTTCTGTCAAGTTTCCCAGGATCCACGTAAGAGTAAAAACATATGGTATCTGTCTTTCTCTGTATGACTAATTTCACTTAGCATAACACTCTCCAGTTCCATCTACATTGCTACATAAGGCCATAATTCATTCTTTCTCATTGCCAAGTAGTATTCCATTGTATATATAAACCACATCTTCTTTCTCCATTCATCCATTGATGGACATTTAGGCTCTTTCCATTATTTGGCTATTGTTGCAGGTGCTACTATAAACATTGGGTTGCAAGTGCTCCTATACATCAGCACTCCTGTATCCCTTGGGTAAATTCCTAGCAGTGCTATTGCTGGGTCATAGGGTAGATCTATTTTTAATTTTTTGAGAAACCTCTACACTGTTTTCTAGAGTGGCTGT